ACAGGTTTAATCGTTAGAGTTTGGGTTAACTATAGTTAGTTGCATTACATGTTTAGGCTGAGCTCATTGAACACAAACGGCCTGTCCTGTTCACTCGTGAGCATTACTGTGCAGCTGAAGGGACACACACACACATGGGACACAGACACACACACACACACACACACACACACACACACACACACACACACACACACACACACAGGAAACATGACGTCAGAAAGACGCAGCAACAGCTGCAAGACACAAGAGACTTTAGAGACACTTCAACTCAACAAGTCTCTGTGTGTGTGTGTGTGTGTGTGTGTCTGTGTGTAAGAAAATTATGCCTGAAAACAGAGTATGAGTGAATGTGTGTGAGCGCAGTGATGAAGGTCTTCCTCCTCCTCAGGCCTCAGTCATTCAGTGAACGCTCTCTCGCTCCAGGTATTTTTGTCCTGATCCAGATTAGCACTCAATCCTGCTAAAGTCGAGCCGCTCTCAGCTCCGCTGACACACACTGCATCACACACAAACACACAAACTCTGGACGAGCACATGAGCGGCTGATTCTCTGTGAACACAGAGACAAACAGAGTAAAGCAGACAGAAGAGACACGATCGGTCAAAGCAAACCCTGTGCAAGCGTGCAGCGATACAGTGAGATCAACAGTAGGACGATATGGACTGAAATATGACGCATGTTCAGAGACACACTACACACACCCAAAATAAACGCTCCATTTAACCTGAAGCAATTATGATGGAAATAAATTACTGGTTTAAAATTTCTAAAGCATTAACAATAATAATTCATTAAAAAATATTAAGGGAATTTCACACAATCAAGAGATTTTGTTCATCTGCTCTGTATTTGGCGCACTGTTATAAAGGACTTTGAGTAGTACTTTATTTTAGTCCTGTGCGGCATGTACATACTATACTATACTGTACTCATAATAATTACAATAACTGGGTAATAACTAGGTACTGACCCTGAACCTACCCCTAAATCTAACCTTAACCCATGCACTTACCTTATATTACCGTACTTCATTAGGCAAGTACACTGTAAGTACATGTAAGTGCACTGACTGTTAAACAAAGTGCAACCTGAATCTGTTATGAAGGAATCATCATATTTTCATTTGATCAGACATGCTTTTTTGATTATTAAAGTTCTATTAAAGCATTAAAATGGAATTACAATGGAAAACAGAATTTAGAAAAAAAAATACTATGGGATTTTGGGGAAATATAATGTATTATATTATAATGATACTCAAGAAACAAACAGATGCGGACACAAAGAGCAGCAGCGCAACTGTGCGGCATCTGACTACAGCGAACACACACGTGTGTGAGCCACAGGGGCTGCTGGGAATGATGATGATGATGATGTCATTTCCCTTCAGGAAGAAGAGTTACTGCACGCTGACAGCTCGGCTCGTCCCTGTGCTGCGTTACTTCCTGTCTGAGCCGTTCAGATCCGCACAAACAAGACGTCAGTCACACACACACACACCTGTCAATCATCTGATGACTAAACACACACACACACACTTCCTAAGAGGGGCTTCACACTGACATCTACTGAGACGAGAGTCAAACACAAACCAACAACTGCATGTTTACAATGAAATACACATCCAGATCAAGACTAATTTGACTTTCAATCATCCACAAACTTTGTCCCTTAAGTAACACACTCACACACACACACACTCACACACTCACACTCTGGCTGGATCCGGTATTGAGGGTTACAAATGCAGAACAGTGGAGCCTCAGCCAAGGCCAGATAAACCACTAACCCTATATCAGCACCACACACACACACACACACAAATACATGAATACACAAAGAGGAATGTGTTGAGAGACATGAGAAAACCATCGTCAGACCTTGTACTTGAGTCTTATCATGGACAGAAAGTCACACAGATGCTGCTGCGCCCTTGATTAACACACACACACACACACACACACACACACACACATACTGCCATCAAAACAGCTGATTGATGAAAGAGTAAAAGAATCAGCAGCATCATCTGTGTGTGTATTAAAGCACAGTAAATCACACACACACACACACACTTGCACACACACTCGCACACACACTCGCACACAAGGCCTGCATGAACCTGCAGAACAACATTAATCTGCTCATTTCCCCTGTGAGAGTCCTGTGAGCATCATCATCATCATCATCATCGCTATTATTAGTACAAAAAACTCTGCAACCTAAATGACCACAAATGTATCATATTCTTTGTTTCAAATGACAAGGGACAGAGAATTTTTCTTCTAAACATGTATTTGAATCAGAAACTGAAATGGTTTTGGAAAATTCTGATATTAGAATAGAACTTAGGGCGATATAGCTAAAAAATGTATCAACGATATAATTAGACTAACAAAAAAAAAAAATTCGTGTGATATTTCATGCTTTTTACTATGAACATCCTAAACGGCAAAATAATAAAACACATTAATTTCAGCCTCATCAGTCTGCAGGCGTATCAAGATTAAAGCCGTAATGAATCTTTCCTTCCGTGCTGTGATGCAACAGATGATTCGAACGAAAAATTGTAGGGCGGGACTTGGTTCAATGCATCCGTAGCTGATTGGATGTTGAGATGTGGGCGTGGCTCTCAAATGGGGGCGGATCTGAATGCCAGTCTCAAAATGGTTAAACAGTTTACATCATGCATTTAGAAAACAGAAGGCTGATACTGATGAAGCGATTAAGCTGAAAACTGTGAATATGAGTAAAATACCTCGAGCAGCGAAGAAAAGATCTACTGAACACATCAAACACCTGTTCATTCACCCTGTATTCATGCATACTAGCTCTCTCTAGTGTGCAGGAGGTCCATCACCTTCAGAAAGCACCAACACGTACTCTGCTAATGTTTTGGGACACGATATTCTTCTTGATTCTTAATATGCACTATATAGTCTGTATCCAATAACTGCTGCCGCTGCTGTAGTCTGACTAGACACAAGTGCACTAAACAGACACGTCAGTTGACATTATTATGATCAGTTTCCAAACATCCACCGTCACACTCAGTATGCGACACTAGCATGAGTATGCAGCAGACTGACACTGATTGCACGAGTACACAACCTGAAAACACTTTGATATGAACAAGACTGCAAGACTTTGTTTCTTCTGTGGAGAAATGCGTGTCAGTCACTGAGCTCAAGTGTCATGCAGTGGCCTACATGATGATAACACACACACACACTCACTCACTCACTCACTCACACACTCACACACTCACACACACACACACACACTCACACTCACACACACACTCACACTCACTCGCTCACTCACTCACTCACACACTCACACACACACTCACTCACTCACTCACACTCACACACTCTCACACACACACTCTCACACACACTCTCACACACACACACTCACACACACACACTCACACACACACACGCTGGAGGCGCAGCCCATCATTCACCCGGTGCTGCTCGAATAGGAATGTTTCTCTCTCAGATCATCCAGACGATCGGATCTATCGAGTCTCTCGATCAAACACAAACTCTGCTCATGTTGCTCCGCTCCCCGCCGCGCTTCACTCGCGCCCGGTACTCCTCATCCTCACGGTCCGCTCACGAACTTCGCCTCTTTTCTGGCGGATCTCAAGCTCCGGCTCGGTTCACGTCCATCTGAGCGGCGCGTCCGTGCGCTTATTCTCCTTCGACAGGCGCCAAACACTCCCGATCGCTCCGCACGGCCTCTCTTTCTGCTCCCTCTGCCGCAGTCATTGGGAACCAACCGGCGCGTTTATCCCGCTCCTCATCAACAGGCTGAGATCTGGCCAGGACGCGCCGCGGAACGCGCGATCCGGCATTTATGACATCAAACGGGCCGTTAGATGAAACTCCGGAGAGACGCGTCAACGCCAAAGCTGAACTAAACAGCAGCTGTCAATCAAAGGCCTACGATTCTGCCTCTGTTTGACGCGGGCGGACGCAGAAATCCACTGACGGCCGCCAGATGACAGAAGAAAAGGCGCTTGCGCGTCGCGAGTTTCCTGACGAAGAATAACGCGCGTTGAGAACAGCAGCGGCGCGAAGGTGACAGCAGCAGATCCAATAGAAGCACACGCACGGATTGACCTACAGCCTCGAATGACGTCAATGCAAATGAGCTGCGTCGAGCCAACCAGCGGCCGCTTGCGCGCAGAGGGGCGGGGCTCGCGCGTGGAGCGAACTTTAAAAGCGCGACGCGATGAAGACGCGCCTGCGGACGGAGGCAGAAAGGGTTAACTGGGGACAGAACTTATCCTGTGAGCTAGAATCCATAGAAGTTGGTACAAAATCTAAAAGTATTAATTAGTTAATAAACATGACTCCTGAGATAAATTTGTACTCGGTGATATATAATATCCTTTTTTAACCTTTGCTGAACTGTTCTTGAATTCCATAAACTAAAAATACACAATATGGAAAATATCGGCAGCATGATGGATGAAAACAAACTCTTGCTGCTCAAACGTGTGGCTCCGGGCCATAAATGCACCTTCAGCACTGTGTGCCATTATGTTAGAGAAAAGTGCTTAATGTCTCAATACTGTTTCTGGTTTTCTTTTTGAGTGCAAATAAAGATGAGCTCTGACAAACAGTGCTGGTCACACTGACGAATTCACATTTCGCTCAGGGTTGAGATACACACATCAGCTACATATATGATCTGTATTATTCTGATGGGTGTTTATTATGTATGGTCTGGTGAAGTGAATCTGCTGTTATCAGATAGTCAGTGATTTCACAAACTCACACACTCACAAACACACACTCACAAACACGCAGCCTAAAATATGTTACGTTCAGAGGATTATATGTACACTAGTCGCAAACAGCTGCTGTTTGTGGTTCGTTTCATGACTACTTTAGTTCTTTGATCATGAGGTTTCATAGAGCTCAAACGGTAAACTAACTCAGTCATGCTGAATTCCAAGTGTATCTTTATTTGATTGGTTTGACCCGACACACGATCATGTGTTGATAAAGAGCAATCGCACCCAACAAGTTTAACTAGAGAATCACAGCACAAACAGCACAGCAAAACAATCAGCCAAACGTCTCCTGAACGTCGGGAACACGATCCATGAGGATGTGAAGCAGCACAGCGTCCTGACTCCTGCTATAGAGAATGACATCAGAGGCAGAGGCTAGAAAACACTCTTGTGAAGGGAAAGTATATGCCACTAAAAATGCATATGCATATAGATATTTACATTTTCATGAAATGCTTACAAAATAGCTGAAATATGGCTACAAAAATACCTGAGTTTACAAATTAACACTTGGCACATCACATGTAGGGTAAGAAAAGAAAATTATATATAATTAAAATGCATTATATAAGAAGTCATTACAATTCAAAATATGCTATGTTTTTATTACTATTATTATTTTTTCATTTTGGTAAACAGGAGGTAGAAACTCTTCTTCTGTGGTCGTGGTGGCGTGGGGGGGGGCTCTGTCTGCTTCACTGGAGTCATTCCTACAACAGCCGGCCAGAGATGCAGTCATTATTGAGATCACTGAGGTTTGTATTCATCACGTTCATCTGTGGCGTTTGCAAAAGCCCTGACATGCACAGCGCGATCAAAGCATGCTGATCTGAGCTCAATAAGGACTGCGCGTCTCTGGCAGGCTAGAGGAAGTACGACTGGAGCGTCCCGCGGCGGCGCACATCCGTCGTCCAGCAGTGAAAGCCTCCTCCCAGGGAGTTAGCGTGCCGGATGCTGACTCGAATGGTCTGAATACCTGCGGGAGCCACGACACACAAGAGCAGGTGAATGAGGAATCACATCAGAGCTGAGGATGCTTCATCACAACGAACAGCGCTCTCACCCAGACTTTCAAACATCTTCTGTATGTTCGACTCGTTAGCGTCCACCATCACACGCTTCTCATCCAGCATCAACACGTTCATCGAGAGCCATTTGGACGACATCCACAGCGGATGATCTGAGATCGGAAAACACTCATGTTAAGCCAAATATTTCATACATGGATATTCATCACCAACAAAATCTGTGAAATATTAAATATGCATTTATTAGAGCAGTGACTGAGTGACATACATGACACGCACATTTCATTTGAAACATTATCTGATTCAAATTGTTCATTTCCATGTTGTAGTTTGAATATCTGATTACAATTTTTATATATTATTGCATTTGTAAGATGCTTGGGATCTGTGTCTTGTCACTTGTCAACCTGTCGGTGTACTGAAGCTTCTGTCACCAAAACAAATTCCTTGTATGTGCAAACATACTCAATAAAGCTCTTTCTGACTTCTTAAAGAGACGTTAATTTTCGACTCAAGGAACACTGACTCAGTTTCGAGCATTGTATCAATATAATCATATCAGACAGAGCAACTCAAGCGCTTCTAACAGATTCAATTTCTCCTAAATGTATAAATATAGATTTATTGTATTTCAGTGTTTAAACTGGATTGCTATAGTTGAAAAAATTGCTATTGTGGTGAATGTGTGTCATAGGCCCGATAGCAGCATGGTTTATCTGAACTACAGACTTGTTTTTATTAATCAGATCATGATGTTATTGCAAATCTGGTGCATGTTGTGTTGCTGTATGTCCTTAATGTCACAACGAATTGGAAATAGCGACAGATCTTTTGAAAAAGAAAAATGTAGGGCAGGACTTGATTCTGTGCATCAGTTGCTGTGGTGGCTCTCAAAAGTGTGTTAAGCGCACTAAAAGACTGGAGAAGATCCAAACATTTTTACAAAATTAAACACTCACAGATGAATTGTAAAGAATAACATCTATAACATGCATTTAGAACATTACATTTCATTTAAGCTTGTGTTTAAAGAGATGGGTGCTCTGATGTGATTGAAGGCTGTGCTTTGACTGAAGAGTTTGAGAACCAAGCCACCAAACTCACGTCAAACCTCATGCGCTACGGTGATGCACCGCTGTACTCACTGTCTGGAATAAGAGGAGCTGGAGGAGTCACCACAGTCCAGCCGGCCTTCTTGAACATCTCGATCTGCAGGAGAGAGTCACCATCATGTGAGCGTCTCGCTGCAGTGCTACAGATCAACACTAGGTGGCAGCACAGCACTGACCTGCCTGCAGGGCCGATCCGGGTTCGACAGCACCAGCCCCGGGCCAATGATGTTAAAGGTGGCGTCAATGTGCATGGGGTTGGGGTCTTTGAAGGAGATGATGTGGATCTTGTAGGTGGGGGCAAGGTGACGTCTCATCCACTCGATGCCCATGAAGTTTGTAACCTGTCAGTAAAAATGTGAGGAGCTAGAAGAGTTCTCAACAGGAGCTGGAGCATGAGAGAGCAGTGAGCTCAGAGCGGATGAGGACGCTCACCTGACTCCTCTGTACAAAGATATCAGTGCCGGCCCTGATGAAGTCTGCAGCATCGAAACACGGCTCGAACTCAGTGGTGACAAACTTCCCCTGAGCGGCCAGCTTATGTCTGTCCTCCACGGTGCGGATGGGGTAATCCTACACACACACACACACATACACTGTGAAGTGCTGCATTAGCGGCGTAACATGCATCTGTTTACACTCGTGTCTGTGCGTCACCTGATCGTACAGCTCGTCACTCATGGTGGGTTTGGGTGCAGTGGTCCACTTGGCTCCCCGCCTGAAGTACTCCTTAATGAGTGGCCGATACGCGCGGTACTCGAAGAACCGGGCCCTCCAGGCCATTGGGGCCTCGATGATCTCGTTTCCCACCACAATCAGAATGTCTCTCGGCATGGCTGCGTACATGCCTGCACAGAAAACAGCCTGTAGTGTCGGCGCTGATATCAGTGTGTGTATGTGTGTGCGTGCGAGTGTGTGTGTGTGTGTGTACACGTCACGTGTGTCTGTGTGTGTGTGTGTGTGTGTGTGTGTGTGCGTGTGCGTGTCTGATAGGTGAGCATTTATTCACTGGAGGCTGTCTCAGATGAGCCCTGAATTGACAGAGAGAATGTGTAAGATGTCTGTTGTCACTGTGAGGATATTGAAATTCCTCTGTGGAGGTAATGACTGGTGAGCAGTATGAGTATGTGCGTGCTAGCGTGTGTGTGTGTGTGTGTGTGTGTGCGTGTGTGAGTGTGAGTGTGAGTGTGTGAGTGTATGTGTGTGTGTGTGCGCGCGAGTGTGCGTGTGTGTGTGCGTGAGCATGTGGGTGTGTGAGTGTGAGTGTGAGAGTGTGTGTGTGTGTGCAGGTGTGTGTGAGTGAGTGTGTGTGCGAGTGTGTGGGCAAGTGTGTGTGAGAGTGAGTGTGTGTGTGTGTGTGTGTGCGTGCGTGCGTGTGTCACACACACGTGTGTGAGTGTGAGAGTGAGTGTGTGTGTGCGTGTGAGTGAGTGTGTGCGTGTGAGTGACTGTGTGCGCGTGTGAGTGAGTGTGTGCGTGTGTGTGTGAGTGCGTGAGTGAGTGTGTGCGTGTGTGTGTGTGTGTGTGTGTGAGTGCGTGAGTGAGTGTGTGCGTGTGTGTGTGTGTGCTGTAACTCCCTCATGCTGCAGAATATTGCACATTTCCTCGATTTCAGCAAGTGCTTTCTTCACATGGTCCTTCGGGAATGTCTGTCCCCCGAACTGCTGGTAGAAGGGCCAGTATTTCTCATAGGTGTTGGCCTGCAGACACAGCAGCAGCAGCGTCGGGTTAGGACTGGTTAGGGTTAGCAGTACTCTAATGTGATGGAAAGGACTTCTGTGGCTGGTTTCATATAGTTTATAGCTTAGACTAACCCTACAAGTTAAGGTCTGTTCACACCAACGGATGATAATAAATATAATGATAATTATATTAGTGTTCACACAAATGGACGATAACATTGTTTATTATAAGCACACTGCAGTTTTATTGTCTATTGCTTTAAATGCTGAAGCTCTGTTTTTTTTAGGGTTTGTCATGACTTATGTCAGTAACAGATGTAATCTGAATCCTGAACTTAAGACAGACCCCTTGACTAACTGCTAGACTAGTTCTTAACATATTGGCAGTGCTTCTGAAAATGGCTCCAGTTTATTTACACTGTATTCTGTCTATATTTATATGTCCTGTCCTTGTATCAGCAACAAAAGATGGTCTTTTGGACACGTACCATGGTATTCTTTGAAGTAACAGTAAATATAACGGTACAGGTATAAGTACTTCCACCTCAGTGTGCTGTCTGTGAGCTGAGACACAACACGTCTGCATCTGCAATCAAACGACACTTGACTGGCTGTACCTTGACCTCCACGGTGAACGGGGGGACGCAGGCGTTCTCGGCTCTTCCTACGATCACCTCCTCCAGCGGGTCCCACTCGTTGTGCGCGCACACGGGGCTTTCCTCGGGCGCGGGCTCGGTAAACGGCTCGTCCACGGTGAGCGGGAGCGCGGCGGCGGAGCTCGAGGTGCTGCGGAACGCGCGCGACGCCCATCCCGACGCCGCGCAACCCACCTGCGCGACACAGAGCAAGCGGAGCGCAGAGATCAGCAAGAGCAATGCAATTAATGCAGGTGCGACTTATGGAGGCCTTAATGAGCTGAATTAGTCACAACTAAAAAGTGCTTTACATGTTCTTTAACGAAAAAAATGGTACAGAAACTATTCATATCAGCTAGTAAATTAAACGTGAAAGTTTTAGGTTTCAAACAGCACTTTCTTGTAAAACATATTCCAATTATCTTTGTTTTATTTACAACTTTGACAGATCATTTTTACGCTTACACACACACACACGCACTCTCACACACACACAC